AGACTTCAACATAAGTTAAGGACTAGATCGACTTGCAAACACTCTGAGTGGTCTTATTGGGTCGATCTGCACGTGGGCGTTCTTGGACTAATCCAGTGGCTTGATGGTGCGGCCTCTAGCGGACAATGACAGAGTGTGACACTGCAAGCCTTCTGGCAACTTTTAAGGCTCCAACTCCATCCTATAGCCGTGCCATAGCTCTTGCACGATGAAAGTCTCTCAGCTTTCGTCTTGGTGGCATATTGATGCGATACTGGATTTTACGCAAACGGCGGCTTATATTGCCACCTAATTGAGCTCAGTTCGAGACCATACCCCCGTTTATGAGGTTCACCAGAAATTTTAACTGAGGAATATCTGTGGTGTCGCACATAGGTAGATAAAAAAAACAGCAAATTTTGCTAAAATTCCCCGAGGATTTCCGTGCTGCACGTGGTGGTTTTGCCCCTTTAAGAAGCGTTACAGTACGCATTGGAAACCCATTAACACTTTCAGAGCAAACAATTTTGAAACAAAAGGTGGTCCTTAACTTATGTTGAAGTCTGTGTAACTAGAAAGAAACAATTTTTTTTTAAAAGGAGGAAAGATAAGGGCGATAGATGTTTAATAGGAAAGAAGAAACAAACCGCATCATAACACCCGTCAACCGTCCACGAGGTTCTGTGCACCCCGAATGCCCGATATATTGGTGTTCTACTACATTGTACTACCATAGATACGACGGATCGCACAAGCCCATCAACCAAGAACCAAGGGGAACTACATGTAGTTCAATCAAGGCCATGGCTTCAGAGTTCAAAGGGTTCATTTTCTGTTTCTTTTTCCTTTCTCTTTTCGTTTTGTTTTGTTTTTGTAAGTGTTTCACGGCGCTCGTAACTGCACAATGTCATATGAGTGCGCGGGACACATTACTCATTTTCAGTTTGGTGGAAATTTTGAATTTTGCCCGGGTTTCAGCCGCAACCTATCCTTTCAATTTTAGGACCACCATGGAATCTTTAACGTGCGCAACTTGCACACAGTACCTCAGAGATTGTTCGCCCTTATCCAAGAAGGCTAGGTGTCAGATCTTACCTACTATAAGATCAGGGATGTGGCTGAAAGACAGCAGTAAGAAGGAGATATGGAGTAGCAGGAGAAAAGTTGCAGAAAGAGTCAGGAGCCTAGAGAAGGGGGTAGAACATGGAGATGAAAGTAGATGACAGAACATGGCTAAAGAAAAAAAATGTTCCGTCGCTGTCAGATTTTGACCCCGTGACCTATTGAATGAGATGCGAACACCGTAACCTCTAGACCAGGAGACCCCCTTTCCTTCCTCTTGTATTCTTAGGATGTCGAGGGGAGGTGCAGGTTTCGGTCCCGTGCTAAGTGTGTGGCTTCTGTGATTGACATAGGGACCTTTTAAACCCCACCCAGCCAGACATTCCTTGGTCTTTCTCTTGATCTAAATCCCTAAACATTCTAGATTTTGGGTTTCATGGGTTTCATGGCTCTCTCTCCGCTTGGTTTGTTCAAGAGTTGAATTACTGAACGTTCTGTGTTGAAGAAATTTCATTGCTAAATCCAACCCAAGGCTCCATCCAGCAAGAGAGAAGTATAGGGAACCTGCCCTAACGGCCATATGTAATATGAGCAATAACATTGGGAACGCGGAAACTTAAGCGGCTGAAGATCGACGCCGATAAGCGTCAGTAGGTGTCTGCTTGACTCCACATAGAAGGCGCCTAAAGCCTAGATCTAGATATCAGAAAAACATTACACCACAAAACAGCTGGTACATGTATTTATGAAGCATTTATTTGGGGATTTAAGAAACAACAATTCGAAATCCCGAAAAATGTTGCTTAAAATGTAATTCTGTTTTACTGCCACATTAATTTGACGACGCTAATTTCAAAAATGTAATTAGTTTTTGTCTACCGTTAAGCACCAGCTCTGAAATGGCCATTTAAAATTGTCCCCTGTCTAGTCGGGTGGCGTTATGCAAACCGCTCAACCCGAGCTGGCGACGGCGAGACAGCATTGAGAGTTGAGAGTTCTCGACCTCAGTGCTTTCTTGTTGCATCTCCATTTTTAATAACAGTGAAAGAAGTTCACAACAAAGAGTGAGCTTAAGAAGAAGTCACATTTTCACTGTTTAAAAATGGAGATACGACAAGAAAGCACTGCGGTCGCGAGTTGACAGCGAGACGCCCTTCCCACTTTTCGGCGTAATAAGAATGTAGTTTGGATTGCAATAAAGACGACAACGCCGATCGGAGCTTACAGCCGCCTGCAGTCCGCCAGCTCTGTGTGGGGCAAGTTGGAAATCATAAGGGAATTTGTATACCTATCGGCGCTTACTAGTCAGTCTCCGAAATCGGCGTTCTCTATGTTTTCGCCCTAAGACAATCACTGGTGCAAACGCCACTTCCGGTTCCTCCGTTGTGTATTTTTAACATAAATTCTAATAACACAGTAAGACGTCCACCTGTTAAAGACAACCACTTTTTTCCTCTCAACAATGGGGGGGGGGTGTCGTCGCAGACAATTTCAAGTGTACAGCACTCATTTTTTTCTCTTTGCTTTTGACTGGAATATTCCTCAGACCGAAGCTCTTGCAAGAGTTCATTGTCATCATCAACATCATCATCATCACGTGCGAGATCTGCGACAGACGTCAGCGATCATGGCCCTCCATTCATTCCCTTGCTCGGATGCTCTTATAAAAGCTATACACACGTATTTCCCCGTCACCCACCTGTTCAGGTTCACCATGTAGGATGCTCTGGGCCTACCCCTGCCTCATTTTCCTTCAATTTCCCCAGTGACAGCTAGATGTTCAACTTAACACTATTCAGTGCAAGAGTTCAGCGTTTAGAATAATCCATTTTGAGTCCTGTGAGTAGTTGCACAAAAACTTATACAATGCAGGGAGTCCCAAACATCTGGACACAAAGGAAAACTCATAATCATACTCACACGATAGCCTTCTGGCAAATTTGCTGAAACTGACGACAGTATCCATGTGAACTTTACAAATCACATCTACCTTTACACCACAAATATTGGATTTCATTAAGAGGATAATTGTACTTTCATACATCTATACCGTTTGATTAAAATGTTATAGAAACTTTCAGGTATATCCAAAAAAAATATATACACTTTGCCTATTTGTCCAGACTTTTGGAACACCATGTTTGAAATATCTTTTATCGGACTTTGGTCCAAAGTTCATGAAATTTCCTCAAAGACAGAGGACAAGGAACAACAGAGATCTGTTACGGCAAGCTGCAGCACAGTCCATGATTTATTTCTTCATGCAAAATGAAGAAACGTACATTATTTTGAATACCATGAAAAAAGCAATTCAGAAGACAGCGAGTTCATTTCATAAATATTCTATAATATAATAATAATACATGTATATAATCAACACAAAATTGAACTAAAGAAGTACAAACTTAAACGTTCATGTTCTCCTCAACAAAGGAAAAGTAAGAAACATAGTCACATCACATGCACCGAGACAACAATTATGAGGACTAGTATAAAGTAGTATATAATGTAGTGAGATGGTTTACAGAGAATACCCTGATACTGATGGTACTGATGATAATGCTCGTACTTGGCTGGGACTAGGCCTACACCACATTTCAAATAGAGGGAACAGAGAAGACCACATTGATTAAACCTGAGCCTTGTAGGAGTGCTTACTATTAACATAACTTGGGGGGGGGGAGACAGAGAGACTGAAAGAGAAAGAGAGAGAGAGAGAGAAAGAGAGAGAGAGAGAGAGAGAGAGAGAGAGAGACAGACAGACAGACAGACAGACAGACAGACAGACAGACAGACAGACAGACAGACAGACAGACAGACAGACAGACAGACAGACAGACAGACAGACAGACAGACAGACAGACAGACAGACGGACAGACAGACGGACAGACAGTGATACAGAGGGACAGAGACAGAGAGAGAGGGAGGGAGAGGTAGAGATAGAGAGATGGAGGTAAGGAGAATTCTTAAGTATCCTTTAAGAACTACTAAGACATCTGACATCCATGTGTGTGAACACATGAACAACATCTGACTCATTTTACTAACACTTTCACCCCTGGGCCAAAGTTTTGTAAACCTGAAAAATTAAAGGTTGGGCCTTGATATTTAATCTACATCAATAAACATAATGATATTAAGTAATAACAGGAGTTTTGTTACATTATTACATAATTGTGTCAAGAGCATTAAAGAATACTAACCGACATTACAGTCTGACTGAATACATAAGTATACTTGTAGTACCGGTATAAGATTTACAAATTCGTCACAATCTTCCAACACAGCCAGAAGTCTCTCACAGTGGGAAGTGCTAGAGGGGCAAGTACTGATATCACAGAAAGTAAAGCAAGAAACGAGGAGATACAGATACCTCCCACATACCCCCCCCCCCCCCCATCCCCCTGGAAAAAAAATCGGTTGGAAAACAAAATTTAAAAAACACAAAATTCCAATACGGTGGAACAAGACACATCACTTCAATCCACTTTCTCTCCGCATCCATATTAAATTAAGACCACAACTCAAAAAAATCCAAACAACCAAACTCTGTAAACACACACTTACCTCATCTTCAACAGAGAAGAGAAAACAATGAATAAGTCCTTGGGGGAACATGGCACAGAACCATTTTGAGAAAACAAATTCAAGAACAAGTTTAGCCAAAGGACAGTGGATTTTTTCATGTCACCTTCACTCAGTACCAACATTGTTTAGTTAAACCTCTTCAAAACAGTTCACAGCCTTTTACACAATGCACAAAATAAAGTATTAAGCTCAGACTGACTCAACTTTTCACAAGCATATCAATTCTCAAACAGGTTTCATTCCACATGAACTGAACATGAAAAAATCAACTGATAACTTCCATCCCATCACACACTCAGAATTTAAAAAAAAAATAAGCAGCCCATTCTTCCTTCCTCCTTTTCTCTACGTATACACATACACACACACACACACACACACACACACACACACACACACACACACACACGTGTGCAACTGATTTTTATATAAAAAGTTCATTTGTCCAGAAAAAAACAGAGCATCCCACATCTTTCAAGCACATATATATTGGCTGTCTTTCAAGGAAATCAGCAATAAAAGCAACAATTGTGTCATAAATTATATAGCCAATATAAAAAATGCAAACATATACAAATAGTTTTTCCACAAAAGATGAAGAGAGTTCAATAGTAAGTTTTAATGAAATATAATATGTACAGCTTCTTCACTCTTGTCAATGGTGACGGATTAGCACAAATTAGCACAGGCCCCTGTTCCAGCTCTACTCTCATCTTCTTTTGTCGGTGAGGGTTATACTCTCTGTGCTCAACACTTGAACATGGTCACATGTCTGGCGACATAGAAAATATCATGATAAAAATATTGTTTGGTAAATGTTTTACGGTACTTGCAACTGCCCAAGGTCATAAGAGCCCGCGGGACACTAGCTGATTATTTTCACGTTAATACTTAACACTGTTTGGTTTTATTTTGTATGTCAAAACGGTTACAGTATCTAAAAATATAATGATATATATGGTAACATTTTGTTAACCCCCCCTCCCCCAGCAATTTAAAATTAAAAGTAACACTGTTTACATCTTTGAACAAAGACCAAAGGTAGCATTAACTCTACTATTTACAGACATTTTTCTACATTCACACAAACCTGTCTAAGATGACCATTCATCATCGAGGAGAAAGGTGGTCAACTTAGGCAGGTGGTCCTCTTTGACAGTGTCATTATAATGTACTGACGATTGTCTTTGTTAGAACAGGTTCAACTGTATTTTGCACAAAAAGAAAATTACTCATACAATCTGGGGCCCAATCATAATTTTTTTTTTTTTTGGTAAAGTGTTTTACGGCGCTTGCAACTGCATAAGGTCATATGAGCGCGCGGGACACACCTAATATTTTCAGTTGGTAGGAAATTTTGAATTTTGCCCGGGTGGCGGCCGAAGCCTACTCTTATCGATTTTAGACCACCAAGGGATCTTTAACGTGTGCAACTTGCACACGCGCCCTCTGAGATTTTTCGCCCTTGTCCGAGAAGGCTAGGTGTAGATCTTTCCTACCAGAAGATCAGGGGTGAGGCTGAAAGACAGCAGTAAGAAGAAGCGAAGGAGTAGCAGTAGAAAGGCTGCAGAAAGAATCAGGAGCCCAGAGGAAGGGACTGAGGGGGTGAGGGCAGAAAGAGGAGATGAAAGCAGACGACAGAACATTGCTAGAGAGCAGGAAATGAGGTGAAAGGAGACAAATTTAGAGAAGAAAATTTTTCGGTCGCTACCCAGATTCGAACCCGGGACCTTTGAATGAGAGGCTAACACCTTAACCTCTAGGCCACGAGAGCCCCCGGCCCAATCATCATCATTTATCTTAGTATCGTGTTTCTATTTAGGTCAACATTGTTTCTAATGTATTTTTTAAAATAATCGTACTATCCACTGACAACTTTCATGCTGATTTTCAAGCCCATTAATACATTACACCCTAAGGGCCTGGACGGGAAGTCCATTGTTAGATCCTAAGCAGGGGGAAAGAACCCACCTCCCGTGAATACGAGCCTTTAAAAAACACATTTTAAAAATACTAAACAAATTCCAAAAATCCTGAAAAAATAAAAGTTAAAAAGAAAACTGAATGTAGTTTCAGCAAAATATAACTTTATGTATGCGCAAACTGTTGGAAATGTTCTAACTTTAGTTCAATTGGGGTGTCCAACCCGTCACTCTCACTCTCAGCCTCGCGGTCGGGCCCTAGATCTAAATTCTAAATTTGCTCCGTCTGATCAATCGGAATCGCCCCAAACTCTTCTTACAACGTTTTCATCAAAATCTGAGCCATCTGAATTGTCACATGCTCGTTTTTGCTCAAATCCATCGTTATTTCCGTTTTTCAAACTCAATTGCGTCGCTTTTCAACAATTCGAAGTGTCGGTAACGCGATCGCACTTTGATCAGCTCTAATACTAAAACTACTGGCCCGAAAAATTTCGTTTTGGTATCAAACGAAAGAAGAAACTTTTTGCTATACTATGCAAATCAAAATCCCGGCCCCAGAGTCTCGTCAAGGCGAGACTTTCGTTTCTAAAGACGCTGGGTCGGCGCGGGCGGTTCCGGGCGAGTCAGGATGGAGCGCGTAAGGGAATTCCCGGGCGATCCCGGGCGAGTTAGGGTGTAATGTGTCAAACTCCTTATCTCTGGCAAGTCGCTCCAAGCGGCTCGCGATCAGACCCGCTGTGCCGGTGAGCCACTGGCAGCAACTCGGGCACATTCTATTACGACTTTGACGATGACTTTCGCAAATGCGGAAAACTAATTTGATGTCAAAGTCATTGTAATAGAATGTACCTGAGCTGTTGCCAGTGGCTCACCCGCACAGCGGGTAAGAACTCTCTTTTACGGGAGTTTCTTCATTGGATGAAGAACTATCAAAATAGGTTCACTTGTTTTGATTTAATGACCAATTTAGTGACGCGCATGTAACATTTAGATTCCGTACTAAAAAAGGGTCCCGGCATAAGGGGTTTATCCCCCTCGGAGAGAGAGAGTTAAGACATAAAAGTTCAATGAAAAGTATTAAGAGCAACTTACCTCAAACAGAGGGGGGTCTTTACTATGTGGGTGGAATCCAGTCTGTGTACAAGAACCAATGACATCCAGACCGTGATCCGTTAGTTTAAAAATTCCTGTCCTGTGAGAAAAAGAGAGCAAGGACAGTTATCTATTTATACACATATTTTGAGCAAGCAGAGACCATGTCCACACACACAGGGCATACAGAGAAAGAAATGGGAAGCATTGCCAGCTGGCCGTGAACAAACATCCTGAGCTTTTTGGTCCAGTGGAAATGCATGTGCAGAGACTTAAAATTTACAGATCATCTTGTGTCAAGATGTTTGTTTTATACAAAGTCAAATATGAAATGCACAAGTCGGAAAAATCCACACCAATTTCAGAAAACTGGATTTCTGAATTTGTCCAGAAAATTGGCTCCTCTCAATAGGGACAAGACAAATTCTCTTCAACTGTTGAATACATGAAAACAACCTGTGCTGAATGTTACTTTACGTCTAAAGTCTACTACCTAAACCAAGTCCATGCTCAACTGATCCATAAAAAGAGTACAGAAATATGAATAAACTTGAATACAAAGTAGACAGCTGACATGTTTTTTACAATAGCTCAGACAAATGATGGCACCTTTTTTTAAAAATAATGTAGAAAAGTCTAACTGTCGTAATCTCAGTCATACAATCTCTAATGTAAGTATTTTGAATAATGCTCGCACTTTGCCTTACGACAAAATTTGTCACTTGGACATGGGACTTCCATCCTCAGATCCTCAAAAACGTATTAAATGTGTTTAACTCACTTAACTGTTAGCAGCGATATAAAGGCTAATTTATAGGCTCCTGAAAAGAAACAACAACAGAAAACAACTGTTTCGTTCTTTGGTGTCATGGTTGATTTTATTAGCTTTTTTTTGGTTTAAGGTATTCACTTGCTTGGGCTGCAAGTTCTCAAGCATTTTACAACATGATGAAATCAATATAATTATTTCCACTGACACCACAGGCTATATTTTAGCAAAGCTTGGAAGGTTAAACCACACAGCATGTTTGAGAAACAGAGAGAAATCACACTGACAAAAATAAAAATACCTCTCTACTTAATGACTTACTCTTGAAACTTTGGTGAACAAACAATTGCTATGGCCTCGGGCATCATCTTCTGCCATGG